TTTATTCACTCCTGAGGACTGAAATAGGGGCACCTTGCCACTGAACTACATTCACAACCTTTTTATTTTTTGAGACAGAGTCCTGTTTAGTTGCCCAGATTCATCATGGATTTGTAATTTTCCTGCCTCACCCTTCTGAGGGTATGTCACTATGTCCAGCTTGGTCAATTGATTTTATTTATTTATTGATACTAGGGATTGAACCTAGGGGAACTTAACCACTGAGCAACATCCTTAGCTAGCCCTTTTTGAGACAGCCTTGCTAAGTTGCTTAGAGCCTCGATAAATTTCTGAGACTGTCCTTGAATTTTCGATTATCTTGCYTCAGACTGCCAAGCTGCTGGGATAAGAGGTGTATGCCACTGCACCAGCTGATCACCAATTTTTGACAAGGACATCCATTCAATGTTGGAAGATTAATTTTAAAAAAATATTTATTTTTTAGTTGGACACAGTATCTTTTATTTATTTTTTATGTGGTGCTGAGGATAGAACCCAGAGCCTTGCATATGCTAGGCGAGTGCTCAACTGCAGAGCCACAACCCCAGCCCCAAGACTAATTTTTTCAACATCCAGATATTCACAACAGAAGAATCTGAACCACCACCAAAGAAAAACGGCAACAATAAGAAACCCTTACAATTCAATCATAAATAAAACAGACAAGGGCTGGGATTGTAGCTCAGTGATAGAGCACTTGCCTAACATGTAAGGCACTGCATTCAATTCTCAGCACCACATATAAAGGTCCACTGACAACTTTAAAAAATAGAAATTTATTTTAAAAAATAAAAATAAAACAAGCCAAATAATCTAATTTAACAGCAGGCAAAGGATTCTTTTTGGGGGAAAGGAACTTTACCACCGAGTCTTCCCCCCACCGCCCACTTTTGAAATAGGATCTTGTTAAATTGCTCAGGCTGGCCTCAACTTGTCATCCTTCTGCCTCAACCTTCTGAGTCACTGGGATTACAGATAAGCTGGCAAAAGTAGGTAAAGGATTTAAAGACATTTCTCCAAAGACAAATAACTGGCCAACAAGTACATGAAAAGATGCCCAATGATAGTAATTAGGAAAATGCAAATCCAAACCACAATGAGATGCCACTCCATATCCACTTTGATGACTATAATAAAATGGAAATTAACAAATGCTAGTGAAGATATGGGGAAATTAGAACCCACATGCATTGCTGGTGGGAATAATGGAGACTTCCGTGAATAATAATTTGACCATTTCCTCAAAAATTTAACATAWACCAGGCATGGTGGCATACACCTATAATCCCAGCAACTCAGGAGGCTGAGGTAGGAGGATCGAAAGTTTACAGCCAGCCTGGGCAACTTAGTGACACCCTGTCTCAAAATAAAAAACAGGGTTAGGGATGTGTAGCTCAGTGGTAGAATGTTCCTGGAATCAATTTTAAAAATTGAGCAAACTTCTAATACTCGGAGTTGTCTGTCTCAMATGAAAGGGACTGCTTATGTTGTTATTTGTTTGTAGTGCCAGGGATCAAACCCAGGACTGGATAGGCAAGTGCTCTAACACTAAGCAACACTCCCAACCCCTGAAATAGATTGCTTTTAAAAGCAATGTTTCTTATGACTAGTTTGAAATACTGATATGTACTATAATATAGATGAAACTTGAAAACATATGAAAAGTAAAAGTCAACAGAAAGGGCACATCTACACAATTCCATTTATATGAAATGTCTAGAATTGGCAAATCCATAGAAAGATTACTCAGGGGTTGGAGAGAGTGAGTGAATACTAGTAGGTATCATACTTTCTTTTTAGGATAACAGAAATATTCTGGCAAAAAAAAAAAAATCACTTTTAAATTTCATGTTATATGGCTTTTTTTCCCCCTTCCTTATAGTGTTAATAGAGTAGCATTTATTCCTGCAAGATGAGCTGGGACCCATAGAGGTTGCCTATGATGTATAAATTTCATCTCAATTAGAAAAGAAAACCTTTACTAAACTGTTTAGCACATGCCTGTAATGCCAGCTTCAGGAGGCTGAGGCAGAACAATCACAGATTCAAAGCCAGCCTCAGCAATTCAATAAGACTGTAATCAACCTAGTAAGACTCTGTCTTACAATAAAAACTAAAAATTCAAAAATAAAAAGGAAGGAGGGCGGCCTGGGGATGTGGCTCAGTGGTTAAGTGCCCTTGGGATTGATCCTGGGTACCAAAAAGAAAAGATCAATACCTTGTTTTTTAATTTACTTTTATGTGGTGCTGAGGATCAAACCCAGGGACTTACACATCCTAGGCAAGCACTCAACCTCAGCCCCTTAATGACTTTTTTTTTCTGATGATAAAGAGAGAAGTTAGAGATTTGTTTTTGTCTAAGGTGACAAAGGCTAAGACCAGGCAGCACCAAGACAAGTACTCAATCTTGCTTGGCTGCAAAGCTTACAGAACTGTAATAAAGTTCACAGGTAGTGAGTACCAGAAAGTTATAGAAAACACTTGGATCAACTAAGATACACACAGGAAAGACAGATCACCAGCAAACCTGATTCTGCCTTTTCTATTACAAATCTTGAAAATGAAACAGAAGTTTCCCCAAATTTTTAATCCATTTCTCTTGCTGCTGCTTTTTTCCCTACAGTGCTGGGGATCAAACCCAGGGCCTCCCATGTCACACAAGTGGGAGGAAAAGGAGCTGGAGATACTGGTCAGAGGATACAAAGTAGCAGGTATGAACAAGTCTAGACATCTGACAACCTGAGGACTTAATTATTACTTATTTTGCAGATGGAATTCACAGTAAATAAGACTTAAGCTAAATAAGACTTAAATAAGACTTAAGCTACTCTTGCCACAAAAACTATGTAAGATGATAATTTGCTTCACTATAATAAGTTTTTAATAATCTTTATATATCCCATATCATGCTCAATAAATATAYACAAATAAAATTTATTTATAAAAAAGTCTACCCTGCAGGCTAAGGTTGTGGCTCAGTGGTAGAGTGCCTGCCTAGCACAGGTGAGGCACTGGGTTCGATACTGAGCACCACATAAAAAAATAAATAAATAAAGTTTTATATACATGAATAAAGTTTTATATATGTGTGTGAATATATGAGATAAATAAATAAATATTAGGGAAAAAAAGAAGAGAAAGTCTACCCTAGGAAGAGTTGAAACTAAATCCTTTTAATTACGGGATTTCCTCCCCTAAATTTCCTAGCCATTAGTGTGACCAACATCAAACTAGGACTTCCTGAGTGCCTAGAACCATTCACCCAGGTTTTGTACACATGACTTTCCTTAAAGCCTCCAGATCTCAGAAGTTCCTGGCTGAGAGGCAGTTTTAAAAGACGTGAGTTCTAAGAGGTCAAATTTTCACTCTCAAAAGCTACATCTACCTTTGGCTCACCTAGTTAAGATCCATTTTCCCCTCAGTGCCATCCTAACCCTAACAACTCATTCAGGAGCAAAGGGAATAATCAGTCAGTCAGTATACCTTGACGGTTTCAAGCAACAGGAAGGCTCATTACTGATAAGGCCCCACTTATGAAAACCAGGGTGTTAAACTTTAGGGAAAGTGTTCCTAGGAAGAAAAAATACTAATATTTACTATATATGAAGTGCTGAATTGTTTGGCCTTACATATTATATTTGCCTTTTTGTGGTGCTACCTATCAAATCCAGGAACCCACTCACGCTAGGTGAGTGCTCTACCACTGAGCCACATCCCTAGCCCCAGCTCCATATATTTAAGAACTCCTATAATTTGCCAGTCACTATGAGATTATCACCACCTTCTCCCTCCAAATGTAAAAGACACGTATTAGTTTGGAGTCACTGCACAAAAGATAGCTTATACATTCAACTCTGGGTTTGTCAAACTCCATGTCCTTTCTACTACACCACAATATTCCTACAAATGGTCTCCTAAGTGTGAGAAATGCCTCATTCCTAGACTAAAAGCAATACACTATAGGGTTAAGATGAAAGATTCTGGGATCAACTTGGACTTGATTTTCAGTCATAAATAWGTGACCCTGGGAAGTTACTTAACCTCATTGGGTCTCAGTAACTTCTGTAAAATATATTATACAGTACATCTCTTTTTTTTTTTGGGGGGGGGGATCCCATATCCATTTCCCTTTGCTGTTAACACTTCAACTTCCTTTTGAGGAATTAGGTCTTAAAAGCATATGACTCAGGGGCTGGGGATGTGGCTCAAGCGGTAGCGCGCTCGTCTGACATGCGTGCGGCCCGGGTTTGATCCTCAGCACCACATACAAACAAAGATGTTGTGTCCGCCAAATACTAAAAAATAAATATTAAAATTCTCTCTCTCTCAAAAAAAAAAAAAAAAAAGCATATGACTCAAGGTAACGTATGTCCAGCCTGACATTCCCTCCCTAGAAAGAAACCAAATATAGTATATGAGTTTATTTATTCCAGTGTGTCCAAGCAGCCAGTCTCTGCTCCAAGACCATTTACCACTACTGTCCCAGTTCTCTCTAGCTGCTATAGATCCCAAATTTTCTTTCTTTATTTTTTTTACCTTATTATTATTATTTTTTAAAATGTGGTGCTGAGGATCAAACCCAGGGCCTTGCACGGGCGAGGCAAGCAYTATACTGCTGAGCCATAACCCCAGTCCCCCAAACCAGATTTTCTAGTTTTCATATTTAATGTGGGAGTTCCTAACATCATTCTAATAAATTCCCTTTTATTTACATTACCATTTTGATGATTGTAACCAACTGAACTTCAAAAGAAACACTGTTGACAGAACAAATAAAAAGGGATTCAAGGGATAAAAACTGACACCATGGGGGATCTTCTTAGCCATTAGAAGTAAACTTATGGTCTATCAACTAACGTAAGTATAGTTGTGTTGTAAATTTGAAATGGCTGTAGGAAAGATTGGCCCATTTATCATCTTCCAGGGTACTTCCTAGCAYAACTGTTTTACGATTATGATAAAAGGATCATCATCCTTAACAGAAAGCCACCTTAACATACCTGACATGGGTCTTCACTACTCATTCTATTCCAGGAAATATCTCAAGAAGTTTTCAATCACCTGAAAATGGAGAAATAAGAGATCAGTCTTTTGAAGAGGAAGTTCTACAGACATACAAAAAAAAAAAAAAAAACCCAAAAAAACCCAAAAACAACAACAACAAAAAAAAGATAAAGAGATCCTGCATGCAGTTTACACATTACAGGAAAGAAACATGCAACTTTTAAGAAATTTTAAGTAACATTTCACTGTGAATATCAATATAGGGTCCTATGAGGCTCATCCTTGTACATTTTAAAATAGCTGAGCAGAAAGCTTTACTTTGGGGTGCAGCAGGAGGTCTAATCTACAGTCATTGAAATTTTACAATGTGTCATTTAAGATGTCAGACTTTGTGCCCAGGTTACATTACAGTTCACTTGTGATGGGCAGGATTATTAAGAGTTATGGCTAATTTATGCGGCAGCATATGGTTTTTCTTTTTACAGCTATTTTTATTAAACAAGTTTTGCAAAGTTTTAACATTAAAATTAACAGCTAAAGAATTGTTTATGCAAGTTGCTGTCACAGTTTATATAAAAGAGAAATATGTGCTATTAAAATCAGACATTTAGGTTACCTTTGGTTTTTTGCGATGCATGTTAGCTTTACACATCCTGATTCTCTTGCGATAATTTTCCTTTAAAAAGGGGGGTATAGAGTGATCTCTTTTCATCAAAACAAGACATAATGCCCTGAAAGCTGACTTCAAACCATGGTTGAAAATTCAGTTATTTACACTTTATCACAATCTACAAATACATTTTTTGTTGGTGTGTTTTTAAAAGAAAAAAAATGTCCATCATGCACTGCTGCAGGCAGCTTGGCACTTCATACAAGAGGATTTTTCACCCCCGAGCAGTTTAGGTGGCTCTCTTAGGGAAGGCATGAGAACCCTGAGAATTAAGAGAGAGGAGTGGAAATGGGGCCAACCAATTCCATATTTCCTCTCTTGATCATGCAGGAGGGAATTCAGGGCCAGTCTATCATGCCAAATCCTGCCCCAGGCCAGCTAAGTTATTGACAGCATTTCTGGGATTGGAAAGCAAACCATTAAGGATATCCAGGGTTTGCTGGATTGTCATATCTAAAGGCAGGTGCTATCCCTTTCTGAACTCAGTGATTTGGTGTCACTCTTTAGGGCCACCTAGGGGATCTAACAAGGTGCAAACAAGGGTGGCTGGCACTTTAAATATGGAGACCTACATATGAAAACCAATCCAAGTTTCAGTCAGTTAGTTGGGTTTTTCTCTCCAGATATTAGAACTTTTGATAGGATTGGTTAAAACTGCTTTCAACAACTTCCAGGGGGTGAAAAAGCTTTGGTTATTTTTAAACTAAAACTTAACAACTCAATAAACTTTTTTTTTGGTAAACTTAAAATAAAATCCCCCCCACCACTTTTAAGAATGTCTCCAACTTTTAACAAGCCCATTAACTTTAGAGTTAATTTAAGTTTATTTAAAAGAGAAAACTATTTTATTGTCCACCCAAAAAAATGACAATTCATCACATTTACTTTGATTAAAAAAGGACTAAACTTTATTGACAAACTGCTGCAGACATTTTGACATAAGTTTAAGCTACCTATTTAGGCAGACTTACACATGTAGCATTTAATCTTCCGAGAACAAAATGGGAGGACSGTACAAATCCAATTAGGACTTTAACTTATGTACAAAGTGGATTTTGATTCCTTTTTCATTCAGCTGCAGTGTCCCTTTTTATATCATGCTAGTGTTGAGACATACTTGACTATCTTGGGAACAGTTCAATATTGACAACTGTCAACTTACTGAAAAACTTCAGCTTTTGGCCCCAATGTCCAAGTGAGCTTTACATGGAGTGCAGAATCTCAAATGGACAAAATACTTTTTGTCTTCCTGAATACTGAAACTTTAATTATTAGTACTCTTACTGAAAGAGTGTGGCTAAAAAACACTACATCAAATTAAATTTAGATGGCCAGCCCCTCTGCCCCAATCAACCTCTTCAAAACTTACTCCCCCCTAAGTATCTCTCAACACTGTATGCCTGGGGCTAGATTTCAAAACCCACATAATGAAAAAGTCAGTTTTACAAACCTAATTTTGTTGTTGTTTTAAGTCAATTAACGTTAATAATTGCATCAACTATTTAATTCATGAGGATCTTTCATATTAAAACTTAACTTAAGATTCAATCGCCATGTGTTTTTAAAGGAAACATTTTTAGAGACGTCTGAGCTCACTTTTGCATGGTGGCACCTACTGCCGTTAACGTTTGTGATTTTAAATCTTAAACAGCCCTGAATTTTGAAATGTAGCCTAGTTTGGGATTCTGCAACTACAACTTTACGGGATGCCTCAAATCAAAACTAAGAGAAAGTTAACAAGCCTTACTTCAGAACCTTTAAGCAAGCAATGTCACTTTTGAAACTAACAGGTTTGTGGTTTTTGTTTTTTTTTTTTACTCAACTTCTTTTTTTTATTATAAAAGGTACACTTCTGTTTATATTTAAACAACAAAGAAAAAAGCATCTACACACTTAAAAAATTAATTCGATATTCCTAAATCTATTTTAACTCATTTTAAAATACTACATACAGAAGCCAGAATGCAGAGTTAAGAATGGAGGAAGGTGGGGAGAAGAAGGGGACCACGAAGAAAAACACTTAGACAATTACTTGTCTGTTGTGGGTAAAGCAACAGGAATCCTGGGAGATACAAGAAATCAGTAACAACTTTGCTCATAACTGATATTTTTCCCCTCCTGTTTGATTTTAATAACGTCCATATGGGTGCTCTCTGTATGCTCCCTTCACTGGCCTAGCTGGAGGGGCCTTCAGTGACGGCCTGGTTCCATTCCAGTCATCTTGGCCTGTGGGAAAAGCGAAGACAGTTTATAAACCATGTCAATGGCATTTGGGGATAAGCAAGGGTAGGTCAACCTAGTAAATATCACCAACAACACTGCTTTTCTTTCAGTGTCTTCATACCTCCTTGGAGGTCCTTGTTCTCCACTCCGAACCTCCTGAACAGTCTGGACTATTTCCACAGTTTTGAGTGGAAAGACAAAAGGGAACAACTCATAAAAGGCTGGCATTTACTTTGCAGTAATCTTCAGGAGTGAGGTTCTCCAAAGGCAACATGACTGATACCCCAGTACCCAAACCTGGATAAACCCAATACCTTGCAGCAAGAGGGAATCATTAATCTCTGTGGGTCTACAATGGCCTTCTCTGCTTCCAATTTGGTAGATTGAAGGAAGACGGCCTCTTTCTATGCAACTGCAAGTCAGGTTCCCTGAGAAGAGAAGTGTTGCCTGGCTCTTTGGCAGAAGCAAGCAAGGGCCATATTTAAATGAGACCATGCACCAGCAGAGCTGGTACTTATTGCTCTSATCAACAGAAATACAATCAAATATTGCATTTACAGAATTTTTGGAACTCCTTAGATCCTTTCTTATGTCAACAGCAATGAGAAACAAGACAATATGGTTGACATTTACAAATGGTTTTCCTTTGACAGGGAAGTCTGGGATAAATGATCATTTAATTCTACAAGTTGTGTTTAAGCTTATTCTTACCACACATTCTCACACCTTTCCCACGGCAGTTCATTCTTGAAGTATTTCTCCAGCTACCCACATTCCATACCTCCTTCCATCACCACAAGTCTTAAACTTCTATATGGATCTAAAGTTGCACAGAACCCTATTTATACCCCTAGTATAATACAGATGTCCATCAATTTCCAGGAGGCTTCTAGGTACCAACGAACAATTTATTTTTCTAATTCCATTTATAAAGGCAGAGATCAGAACAGATTTAACTGTGGCAACATCAGACTAGGAGCACAAGGAGCAGCCTGCCTCCTTTTAGTTCAGTCTTTTCTCTAGCAAAACAGAAATTTAGTCAAACACATACAGAGGCTCCATTGTACTACCTCACCGGTGGAGGGGAAAAMCCGATGCAATCATACTACCCTTCTAAATAATGGCATATGAGCAGAGAAGTACAATGTAGCCGATTGGCTACTTCATACCATGCTGAGGGGTTGGATTCATGCTGTCTATCTGTGGGAGGCCCTAAGACTGTCCATTATTTTAGCTAGGGCTAAGGAGAGACTGTCAATCACTGTCTTCAGATGCACTCTCAACTCTTCAGCCAGCTCCTTGCTAAGCACTCTCTTGAAGTTTCCCAGGTATGTTGAAAACACCTCACATTTAAAGAGCTGCTCTCTGCATCCAATGCCACATGGCACTCCCTTTGGGGCCAATTAGCATGGGATCATAATTGGCTCATAAGGACACACTTGAGCAATGTGTTTTTAACCAAACTTCAGGCCATTCCAGCTTCTACTGCTCTTTTAGGATCAAGGACTGAGTTGTCTCCAAGCCAGTATAGAGCTTGAGGCCAGTTGTGCCCTGACTGGTTCCAGCCCTGCAGCCTCTGATCTAACAGGCACTACTTTTGCCCACTAACCTGCTCTAATCCATTCCTTTTCAGTTTGTTTCTACACACTGAGATTCTTTTTGTTAGGATCCAAAACTTTTTAAAATATTTTTTAAGTTGTCAATGGACCTTTATTTTATTTATTGATATATGGTGCTAAGGATCGAACCCAGAGCCTCACAAATGCTAGACGAGTGCTCTATCACTGAGCCACAGCCCTAGCCCCAGGGGATCCAAAACTTTTAAAAACTGAGGTGGAGCTGGGCATGGTGGCACACACCTGTAATCCCAGTGGCTAGGGAGGCTGAGGCAGGAAGATCAAGTTCAAAGCCAGCCTCAGCAACTTAGCAAGACCCTGTCTTAAAATTAAAAATTTTGGGCTGGGAATATACCTCAGTTGGTATAGTGCTTGCCTTGCAGGCACAAGGCCCTGGGTTGAATCCCTAGCACCACCACAACAACAAAATATAAAAATAAAAAAATTTTAAGAAAGGGCTAGGGATGTGGCTCAGTGGTTAAGCACTCCTAGGTCCAATTCCCCCACCACACACACACACACACACACACACACAAAGAGGTGGGGTAGAAGAATATAACAAAATATGATATAAAAGTTTTTGTTTTCTACCTATATGGCTGCAGAAACATAACCCAGGTCTAAGTATCCCCTGGCTAAAGTAGAAAATGATCAGTATTAGCTTAAAAATCTGCTGCTCCAGCCCAGCTAACCTGGCATGAGCCCTAGTTTAAGAATGTACTTAGCTTCCCAAGGGTAACAGTATCACCACCTAACTTTCATAATCTCTCTTTGGACCATGCATCATAAAATTTAAATAAGAACAAGACTCCTAGTGTCTATGAACACCAGGGTCTTATAAAATCCAGTCATCAGCATTCTCCCAGGCACTTAGTCATTTTGCCCCACCCTAGAAAATAAGACATACCATAAGCTTCATAAGAATCTTGAACCTCCCCATGTCCATAGTCATAATATTCTGAGTCCCTGAAAGCCAAAGACACAGCGTTAAAAAACTACAGCTTTTTACAGATTTTTTTTTTTTTTTTTTTTTACAGATTTTAGTTCCACCTTTCTCTCAAATATATCCATACCTGTCATTTCTTTGTGTGTAAAATACAGGGAAAAGCCCATTTTGTTCCTTCCCTAAACCCCAAAATATTTTCAAAGTACACATGATGTACTACTCCTCCCCGAAAAAAGATAAACTATAGTAAGGAAAAATGGATACCACAACTAAAAATGAATAATTCTAAACTGACCCTCTTAATGAAATTACAATAAACACATATTCACAGAGATCACTGGGAAGGAAAAAAAAAAAACAGAAAAGAAAAAGAGCAATTCTGTCCCTAAAGTAGAATTCTGAGACTAATTTTCAATCACAGATAAGATACATGTGTACACAAACAGAATGGTTTAAGCTAAATGGAAAAAAAAAAAAAAAAAAAAAGGAAAAGAAAGAAAGAGAAAAATCCAGGTTATGGTAGGGAGACTCTAGCTTCCTCTTAAAAATTCAGGCAATCTTAATGTGGTTGGGTTTTATTTTCCTTGAACCCAAGGTGCTTTATCACTGAGTTATATCCCCAACGCTTTTTATTTTTGAGACAGGGTCATGTTAAATTGTGGAAGGCTTTGCTAAGTTGCTGGGACTGGCTTTGAACTTATGATACTTCTGCCTTAGCCTCATGGGTCTCTGGGATTACTAGTGTTGCCACTGAGCCTGGCTTGGGATACTTCTTAGTAAATCAAGCTAAGTGTGATGGTGCATGTCTGTAATCTCAGCAATTCAAGACACTGAGGCAGTATGATCAAAATTTCAGCAATTTAATGAGACCCTCTCTCAAAAGTTAAAAAAAAAAAAAAAAATTTAAAGAAGTGGGGAGGCTGGCAGGTGTAGCTTGGTGGTAGAGAGCATGGTAGTGCCCCTAGGGTCAATGCCCAGTACCAAAAATAAATGAATAAAATTTAAAAAGCGGGATGCTGAGGATGTAGCTCAAAAGTAAGAGTATTCCTGCTTTTAATCCCCAGCACTGCAAAATAAATTTATTTAAATATATTTTCTCTATTTTCATGTAGTTTTTCATCTACTATTCACATATTCTAAATTATAATTCTAGTTGGCACATGCTGATTACAGTGGCATGCGCCTATAATCCCAGCGAGAGGCAAAGGCAGGAGGATCGCAAACTAGAGGCCAGTTGGGCAATTCAGAGACACCCTGTTTCAAAATAAAAATTATACTCTGTAGAGTAGAATGGCCCCTCAGCTCACTCCTCAGTACCAAAATAAATAAATTTTTGTTTAAAAATTATAATTACTATCCATATTTTAGAGCCAAGAATGTACCTCACAGATGTCAAAAGCAGAAAAGATACCTTTCAAACCATGAGCCATACTGCTCCTTAGGTCTGTGTAGCTTAAATATCTCAGTTCCCTTAATTCCATGTATCCATCCATCCTAAGGTACCAAACCACACTGCCTGACTCACCCTTGGCTCTGGCTGTAATAGCCTTCGTAGCCTTCATAACTCTGTTCCGCATATGTATCATCATATCCCTAAAATAAATAAAATGAAATAGGTTAGAATCAGAGGAGAGAGATGCTAATTATATCCCATGTAGGTATGATAGGCTTCTGGATTAATAGGACATAAAATTTTCCTCCAAAATAGTAACACCCACAACAGTCAGTCAAGAGAGAAAGGGTTACCAAAAAACCTCACACACACGCACACATACACACACACACAAAAAAATATCAGATGCCACAGGACAAGTGTGGGCTGAAAGTACAGTATAAAATTGAGCTTTAGTAGGAACACATTCCTTAGTAAAACACTGTACATTAGCTTACTTCCCATTTAATTTACATAGATAGTAAACTGTGCCTAAAAATGGAAAAATCTCATAGGTCAGATTCCAAATCTTACAGGTATTTCCTGCTACCTACATGAAGGGTCATTCAACTTTGACAACCTTTTAGGCATTGAGAAATGTACATTATTCAAAATATTCTTACATATTCTTCATATGTTTCTGGTGCAGGGGGTGGAGGCAAAGGTATTCTCTGGATGCCKGCCGTCCGTGCTCTTGGTGCTGGAGCACCCCTCACAGTAGGTGGAGGTGGCACCCCTCGGGTCACAGTGGCACCTCTGGTGATGGCACCTCTCACTGGGGTGCCACGCACCAAAGCTCCCCGAGGGGGTCCTACACCACGGCCCCTATAAAAAGAAAATCTTTTTCAAATAGAGCATTTAATAAATAAGTCACTTTCATCTTCAGATTTATTTGCAAATTTTGGAGCTAGATAGATTTTACAATGCCTTAACTAGACTATCATTAAAGCATAGAGCAATGAAAGTATAGATGGACAAAGGACCCACACTGGAAGATTTCACCAGGTCCTATAATGTATTAGTGCACCTTGGGCAGGTACGAACAGCCCATGTACCATTCCCCCCGCCCCCTACTGGGTCTCATTATGTGGCCCAGACTGACCTTGACTTCGCATTCCTCCTGCCTTACCCTCCCCCATAGCTGGGAGCATTCACTACCAGGCCAGTCTAGGTCTCCACAGTTTAAACATTCCATAAGTGTCAGTCACAGGAGGTAAAATTCTGAAGTTAGATCATTAAAAATGCTAGGGCTTTTCAAAATTTAAAACTCAAAAAAAGTTTCAACAGGACTGCAGCATTTGACTATGGTCAAAGCACTTGAGATATAAAATTACATTTTTTAATTGGTGCATTATAATTATATGTAATAGTGGAATTTATTATGCCATATTCAAACATGCACATAATTTGATCTAAAATTCCATTCTTGATGGAACAAATTCTGAGATCCCTCCTAAATTAGAGATAAGAGCACCAATAAGACAGAGATGGTGCTATCAGTCAATTTGCATCCTATTTCTAGCTATCTAATTTACCTGGGAACAGGTGGAGGGGGAGGTGCAGCTCCCCGGCCTCTCACTGGCACCCCACGTCCACGAGAGGGCTCAGGTACTCCATTCAAGTAGGACAGCTCTAGAAATTGCTCCTGGCAGATATCATCCATCATATCCTGGGAAAGAAAGATCACAAGGAAAACTATACAATATCTCCACCTYCTACCGAAAAGTCATCTGGCCCACATAAACCTCAGATGCTAAGAACAATTCTGAAAGCCTAGGTGAAGTCTCAGGTCATTCATTCTCTGAGGTCAAATGATGCCCTACCTGTCACTTCTTTGAGGAAAGTCTTGATGGCAGACCCCTCATTATTCAGATGGAGCTCTTCAGGATGTGGTCCCTGCCTAGCTCTCCAGATTACTTCCACCCTCTCTCCATACACAACCTTCTCTCAAGCTATGCTGAACAATCTGTAGTTCAGAACCTGGCACACTCTCACACATCCATTCTCTGAAAATAGTTTCCTTTTCCTGGAATAATAAAAGCCACTACCATTAACGGAACTCTATAAACTGGGACTATACAATAAACATTATATAGATTTTTCAGTTTAATCTTCAAAATGACCCTAGGCAGATCTCCCTATATTACAGTTGGGAAAAGATTCAGGGATTATGAATCAGCCTAAAGACACAAAGCTAGTAAGTGACAGATTCAAGATGTGAATTTAGAATTACCTATCTCCAAAACCTAGGCTTTGAATTAATAGGCTCTATTGCATTTCTTTTACTTTTCTTTTTAATTTTTCCTGGTCTACCAAAGGGACCCTAACTAACCCTTAGCAAGACTTAAAGTAAAACGGTATCCCTTTGGAAAAACTCTCTGTTGATGCTATCCCCACACATTCTCTTTTCCCAAAGCACCATGCAGTTCTCTCTATTCAAGCACTTCTCATCATTTTAGAATGGTCTTTTTCATAAATTATCAGCTCAAGAGCCGTTTTTATAATTTCATACCCAAACACAGTAAATGCACCAAGAGTTCCCAATCTAGTGCCTTTCCTACTGTACCACAAAGGCTTCCTGGTACAGTCAGTGGTTCTAAGGGGAAAATGGAGAGCTCTAGTTACAGATGCAAAAACAGGCTCACTTTTTCTTCTTCACAAGACGGAAGAACTTAATCAAATGTTATTTGCAAATTTTTTTCACACATTTCCTGTTTTGAGAATCATTCAGTCTTAATACTTCAAGCATATATTCAGGTGGACACAGTTAAGAACAGAAGATGCTAGTCATTAGAGAGATGTCCCCTTCAACTCTTCATTTCCCCTTTTCTTACACATCACTGCTGCCTGAGACTCACATTCAAGCACCAATGCCAGTTCCCGCTCAGACTCGTCTAACTGCCAGGTCAACACCGAGGAAGCCAGATCTACTCAGCAGGCATCTTTTTTCAAAACTTCATTTACATGCAAGCCTTGTAAACCTATTCCATCAGAGAAATAGGTTGGAGAGTAACAATAAAGAGGAGAGGGACATTCCTTCTGCAGTCCTTCAGAAAGCAGGTAGTCAGATTTCAAAGAAAACTCTTCAAAAAGTAAAAAGTGAAGTCTGGCATGGTCATGTACACCTGTAGTTCTAGCTACTCAGGAGGCAGAGGCAGAAAAATCGCAGACTTAAGGGTAGACTGGGCAACTTAGGGAAACTTTGTCTCAAAACAAAAATTAATAAGGCTGTATTCATATAGCTCAGTGGCCCTAGGTCAATCCCCAGAACCAAAAATTAAAAGGAAGTGAAAAAGGACTGGGAGATATTAGCTCAGTGACAGAACCTTTGCCTAGCATGTACATGACCCTGGGGTTCAATTTTCAGAACTGCAAAAAAATAAAAATAAATTTTTTAAAATTCAAGAAAAAATTAACCAGCCATGAGTTTTTCTAATGAAGATAAGGTACTTTAAGCTGGGCATGGTGGTGCACGCCTGTAATCCTAGTGGCTCAGGAGGTTGAGGCAGGAGGATCCTGGTTTTAAAGCCAGCCTCAGCAATAGCAAAGTGCTAAGCAACTTGGTGAGAACCTGTCTCCATAAATAAAATACAAAACAGGGCTGAGGATGTGGCTCAGTGGTTGAGTGCCCCTGAGTTCAATCCCCAATACCACCCTCTGCCAAAAAAGATAAGGTACTTGAAAATAAAGCAGCCAATGARATGTCTGAGACAGTATTAGTACTCTTGTGGGTTCAGCTTTCAGGTACACACTTGCCTATCAACTTTTGCTCTACCAATTCTCATACCTTTTGATACTACACTTAACTCCTTCATTCAAGAAATTYAAGGACTATACTTCACCTCTTCTTAAGTTTTAGTGATGAAAACATTACTCAACTTTAGTCAATAGTATTCTAAATCTATCCCAAGGTTTCAGATCCATCCTTTTTTTTTTATTCCCACATTTTTTTTTTTTACTGGTGCACAATGGATATCTGTTACATATTCATACATGCACACAATATAACAATATAATTTGGCCCAACACTTCCCCTCCTCCTCCTATTCCTGCTCACCTTCCTCTATTTATTTCCCCTTTTTCCTGAGATTCTCGCCAGATTAAGCCTTGATATTAAATATTCAACAGTAGTATGTTAATGCTGACAACCACCAGGCCTTGCTAAGAGACAAAAATGGTACCATTCTCTTTTGATAGTAATAAAGGCTGAACATCACTAATCTGAAATGCCCCCAAATCCAGAACCTTTTGAGTCATAACATGATGCCAAAAGTAGAAAATTCCACACCTGAGTCCATATGATGGATCATAGTCAAAACAAAGATAAACCAAAAACACTACAGAAGTATCTTCAGGCTATATATAAGGCACATATGAAACAAAAGTGAATTTTTTGTTTAGACTAGGGTCCCATCCCCCAAGATACCTSATTATGTAAATGCAAATATGCCAATCCAAAAAAATCCCAAACACAGAACACTTATGGTTGTCAGAATTCCAGATAAGCAACACTCAGCTATAATCTGACAAGGTGGTAATAAGTAAGAAAAGATACTCTGGCCTGTCACAAGACTTCCTAGGCCTCAGTTATATCCTTAAAGAAAGGAGCTGTCTTTAATATTATAAACAGTTAACCAACAGATGCCTCTTCAAATCATTTGACTTGAGTGACACCTCCAGAAGAGGAACCTGAGTGTAACAGGTCAGAATTTAATCCAATAATAATGGATGGTATAAGTTTCTTGCTGTCACATCTAGTTTCAATAGAGTCTGGAAAGTCTACAGCATAAACCCTTCAACAGCATAAACCCTTCAAGTGCAGGGACCTACCTTAATCATTTTCCTAACACTTTCAAAATACCGAGCTTAATGAAGACTGTTAAATATTTGTTCATCAGATCTCAGAATGGATACTCATGGACTCAAGATATTGACAACAGATACTAGTATACAATGAAAACCACATCAAACACAGGTGCTTTTGGTAATGGACCATCAGAAAAATAAACATAAATGCAGAATTTGGTAGCATCAGGTTAGGCAGAGAACCTGGTTAATAACCCCTTCCTTCACAAAAACATATAATTCTACTTTTCCCTTGCTCAGAAGATAAAGGATATGTGTTTCCTTACTGGTACTAAAAACTTCTTCACTTCTTCCATGGCATGGGCCATGAGAGCATAAGCCTCACATGGGGGTCCAAAGACTTCAATGAAGACATGCAGATCCATATTTAAGTGGGCATACTTTGGATCTCCGCCTTTGCGAAGCTCTTCTTCCTATGGAAAAATGCAGAGACATTATATTACATGGACTAAAGAGAAAACTTTTACCTCTAGGCCAAAGGGATAGCAAGATATAACCTGAATATTTTGTGAAAAACAATAAGCTTTAAGAAGAAAGTTAAAAGAAAAAAAAAAAAGTTCTGCAGAGGGCTGGGGATATGGCTCAAGCGGTAGCGCGCTTGACATGCATGTGGCCCAGGTTCGATCCTCAGCACCATATACAAAGATGTTGTGTCTGCTGAAAACTAAAAAATAAATATTAAAATTCTCTCTCTCAAAAAAAAAAAAAAAGTTCTGGAGAATAGTTAATTTACACAATATACTAAACTTATACTTGGTTAACTATTCTCTTAAATCACTGGGGTATTCATTGGTGTGCTTATTAGAAGGCACAAAATAGAAAAACTTAATTCTAGTCTCTATTCAGCTAACAGCTTGTTGTTAAACATTTGCAAGTATGTAGGGGGTGTGTGTGTGTATTTATGGCCCAAGCATTTGTTTTTAAGTCCCAGGTAGAGAGCTCTTAATCACCACTAGCTCTGCTTATCTGCTTATACGGTATGGGGGATTCTAAAGAAAGAAAGAAGTCAAGATACAAGAAAAACTCAAATTAAGTCTCACAGGTAAACATACTTCAGCCTAAGTATATGCATCTAATGAGAAATGTTAATGAACAACAGTAGAGGGCCTGAAAAAAACAACATTTGTCAATTAAGAAAAAGGAGGCCTGGTGGCTGAGGCTGTAGCTCTGTGGCAGAGAATTTGCCTAGCATGTGTGAGGCAGTGGGTTCGATCCTTAGCACCACATAAAAATGAAACAATAAACGCATGCTATCCATCTACAACTAAAAAAAAAAAAAAAAGAAAAGAAAAGAAAAAAGAGGCCTGAAAGAGTTTAGACTAGCACAGTACATCTCATCTAAAAAAGCTGACCTAGAAGGCTAAGACTATTCTGTTGTGGTGGGAAGTTTCTTGGTCCTTAAAACAGTACACAGTGAGCCAGGCACAGTGGTGCACACCTATGATCCCCAGCAGCTTGGCAGGCTGAGGCAGGAGGATCACAAGTTCAATGCCATCCTCGACAACTTGGCGAGATCCTATCTCAAAATAAAAATAAGAAGAGCTGAGGATGTGGCTCACTGGTTTAGCACCCCTGGTGCTTAACCTAGCAAAAAACGAAATAAACAGAAAACAGTATACAGTGTATGGGCTATGGCATGGAAAAGAAGTAAGTATTGGGTGGGTTTTGTTGTCAGAATTACTCATGGTTCCTTTTGATTACATACTTTTAGCAGTTCCCACATTCCAGCTGGCTAAACAAGAGACCATCTAATCTTCAAACTCATAACACTGCTGTTCTACTTTTTCATGTTACCAGAAAGGAGATATGTTACATGTTGTTCACATTTTGATGTGGGTAAGTTTTAGTAAACCCAGCTAATATTTCAAGTTTTCACAGTTAAATATAAACACCAAAGATGATATTGCTATTTGGACAGCCAAAATTCTAAAAGAAAACAATCATAAGGCACAGGGTTGCCAAGCAAGTAAATTAACTTGGTCTATAATCTCTTGTATCCAGTGAAAGCTTATGAAGTCCTATTGTATAGGTATACAACACTTGTACCGTAAGTCATCCAAACTGGATGCCAGGGCAACTAGAAGGCATTAGGGTGTTATCTTTGCCTCACAAATATGAGCTTACCTTGGCTTTGTCTCTCATTGAGCCCTTTCCCAATACAGAGATCTTTGCACCAGTTTCTTCCTGCAGTCTTTTGATTGTATTCCCTTGTGGTCCAAGAATCTTCCCCACAAAATTGAACTGACAAGAAAATTAAAAAAAAAAAAAAAAAGATTTCTGAAAACACATGGCTCCTATAAAACATTTCCACATATACTATCTAATTTGATCTTCAACAACCACGTAAAATAGGTATCACCATTCGCGTTTTACTGAAGGATATAGAGGCTATACTGTGATTAGGTTAAAGTTATACATCTAAAAAGCTGGCAGTTCACAGACCTGAATTTCAGTTTCATGATATAGTCTGGTCATCCCAGCAGCTCAGGAGGCTGAGACAGGAGGATAGTGAGTTCAAAGCCAGGCTCAGCAAAAGCAATGCACTAAGCAACTCAGTGAGACCCTGACTGTAAATAAAATACACAACAGGGCTGGGGATGTGGCTCTGTGGTTGAGTGCCTCTAAATTCAATCCCTGGTTCCCCCCCCGCCCCCCAAAAAATTACAAGTTAATCATTTGACAGAGAGCAACTCTTCAGACTTCAAGGGATTTTGATTGTTCAGAGAAAAGAAGGAAAACAAACAAACAAACAGATGAAAAATTCTTTTTGATAATAAAAAGATGGGGCTGGGGTTGTAGCTCAGTGGTTGAGCACTTCACATGTGTGAGGCACTGGGTTTGATCCTCAGCAACACATAAAAATAAATAAATAAATATTGTTGTGTCCATCTACAACTAAAAAAATATTTTTTAAAAAGATGACTATATTTTCTTTTTGACTATAGCTATGTTATTCATTATGGACTTTCAACTCCCCAAAACAGGTACTCAAGCATGGAAGAGAACCTTCACAGGCTTAGATCCCATGCAGTACAATCCCTGCCAATGACTCCCCTGCTTATAATGTTAATTCAGAGAAAAGAGGCACTTTTTGCCTTACCTTTGGGTACTGCTTGACAGGTATCAGCACCCGCTCTTTCAGCTTCATGTTCTTATGAGAAAATAAGTCCAAATAATTCTCCTCATCGTCCTTTTTTGAATCCCCTTTCTGAATCTTCTCAATTTCTGAGTAAGAAAAACAGAATTTATTTCTGCTCTAGTAAATAAAGGCAAATTTCCAAGACAGCTTAAAGCAATAACATGGAGTACACTATGTAATAAGACCAAATTGTTCAAATGAATGCACTAATTTTAGATAGACTGGCTGAAAGCACCAATGCTATATGAATTTGACTAGGGAACCATGAGTCCGATTTTAATAAAAGCAATTTGCTCTTCCAACCTCACCTGAAGACTTTACATCATCCAAATATTTCTTGACRTAAGAGTAAATAGATTTAACAAAGCTAATGAGATGAAGGAAAGCAAGATAAAGGAATTTTTTTTAAATTTAAATCTTTATCACAAAAAAGTACAGAGTMAAACCTTCATGAAGAAGCAAAAATCAATAACTTATGTAATGGACAGTTTCATTAAAATTCCACTGTAGCAGTAGTGCTTTTAGATACTAGTCCTTAAGAGTTTGAAAGATCTAGTGGGGCAAGGTGGCACATGCCTATTATCCCAGCATCTCGGGAGGCTGGGGAAGGAGGATCTTAAGTTTGAAGCCAGCCTTTGCAATTTAAGACAGTATCTCAAAATAAAAAGGACCAGGGACTGAGGTTGTAGCTCAGCGGTAGAGCATTTGCCTAGCACATGCGAGGCATTGGGTTCTATCCTCAGCACCAAATAAAAATAAATAATAAAATAAAGATATCATGTCCATCTACAACCAAAGAAATTAATAATAAAATGGACTGGGGATGTAGCTCAGTGGTATAAAGTCCCTGGGTTTAATCCCCAGTACAAAAAAAAAAAAAAAAAAAGGAAAGAAAGTGTGTTAGCATGTATGAGGGCCCTGAGTTCAATTCCCAGTACTGGGGAACAAACAAACAACCATACACACACACAAACACACACAAAAAAAAAAACCCCAAAAGATAGAAAAAAATGAATGAATTGAAAGATCTGGTTCTTACCCTSCCACTCATTAACTATGTGAAATTAGACCAGTTATTTCACTGCTCTGAATGTTGGTCTCATTTGTAAAATACACAATATGTACTTTATGAGGTTGCTATAAAGACATAACGAGGGGCTGGGGTTGTGGCTCAGTGGTAGAATGCTTGCCTAGCATGTGCAAGGCCTAGCTAGGTTCGATCCTCCATGCCACATAAAAACAAATAAAATAAAGATATTTAAAAAAGACAAAATGAAATAACACATATACATCCAATTAAAGTCCACTCTTGACAGGTGTGGTGGCACATGCCTGTAATCCCAGTGACTTGGGAAGCTGAGACTGAAAGATCTCAAGTTTAAGGTCAGCCTCAGTAACTTGGTAAAACACTGTCTCTAAATTGGTGGGGGTGGAAAAAATAGTCCATTGCTTAGAAAATGCTTAATACATGCCCCTGTTATCTAATCTAAATCCAGTCATTGTCCTTGAACAAGAAAATGTATCAAAGTACTTTGTTTTGGTTTTGGCAATATTGGGATGGAACACAGGGATATCAAACCACTGAGCTACCATCCCCAACCCTTTTATTTTTGGACAGTGTCTCACTAAATTGCGCAGGCTGCCTCAAACTCCTAGGCTCAAGTAATCCTCCTGCTTCAGCCTCCCAAGTAGCTGTTAGTGCAAGCATACTCCACCAAGCCCAACGGGCAGAACTATAAATGCCAGGGCTTTTCACACTTCTATGTTTCATGCTTAGAACAGAAAACAAATTTGAACTTACAATTAACAGACTAAATGCTCCATTTAACACCCTGTTTGTTTAGTGTTTTACTGGTGCTAGATCCTGCCCTCCACCCCTTCCCATCTACTTCTAATATTAACTTTTTGGTTAGTTTTGAGCCCACCAAACTGACCACACCTTTTCTTGAGTTTGCGCACTAGAAAACTAGGTGCTTAATCCTCAAAGTCCTAGAGGAAAAAAGGTGTCACAATTCTGACTTGCAAAAAAAAACACTGAGAAGCCTGTAAGAATGTGAAACAAGGTTGGAGTTGTGGCTCAGTTGTAGAGCGTTTGCCTGGCATGTGTGAGGCACTGGGTTCAATTTTCAGCACCACATATAAATAAAACAAAGGTCCATCAACAACTGAAATGTGTGTGTGTTTGTGTGTGTGTGTGTGTGTGTGTGTGTATATATACACACACATACACACACAAAAATTTTTAAATGTAAAACAAATTATATCCTTTGTTTTATCTATTATCTTCCGTGTTTCCTAACTACCACAATGCAGTTATAGGGTATATAGGCACCAGAAAAATCATTAAAACCAAGGCTTTCTATAACTTCAAACCTCATACTTTTCCTGTTGCTTCTTAATGGGGGCAGGTGAGGGCACTTTATATAAACAAGGAAGAGTTAGTTCAGTACTAGGGATAGAACCCAAGTGGTGCTTTACCCTTGCTTGAAGCCTGTAATTCTGTTTAAGTCCTACAGGAAGCAGAGTTGTGAAACCTAATACAGAAGAAAAGCTTATTTACATGCAATGTAATGCACTCTTGCAAATTTAGGATCTCTTTATAACAAGGATCCTTCTGAATTTTGAACTAGTAGGAACATAATAGAATCCCTTTGCCAATTTTTTTTTTAAATTTTAAAAAACAAAGTGAAAGCATTTTTGGAAAATTCAAAGAATAATTATTTATAAAATATTTTTTTAGATGTTGATGAACTTTTATTTTATTCATTTATTGATATGTGGTGTTGAGAATTGAACCTAGTGACTCATACATGCTTAGGCAAGCACTCTACCACTGAGCCACAACCTCAGCCCCAAAGCCTCAGCCCCCAAAGAATGATCATTTTAAGAGTTAAAAGAAAAAATAATTAGAAGTCTAGTCTAGGAAGCAAAAGACTAAGCAAAAAGCAACCTCAGCCTTCAATAAGGATCATCTTCCATATTTGGAGATTGAGCGACTATTTATTCAGTGCCTATTATTTATCAAACACACTACAAATGTTACCTCAAAAAATAGCTCAGTGATGTAGCTGGTACATTCACATCTCCAACGCTTTTTTGAGACAGGACTTCACTAGGTTGCTGAGGCACAATACCTTCATTTTAATGTGGTGCTGAGAACTGAACCCAAGGCCTTGCACATGCTAGGCGAGCACTGTACCACTAAGCCACAACCCCAGCGCCCCCACAATACCTTCATTTATTTATTTATTTTTATGTGGTGCTGAGGATCGAAGCCATGTGAGGCGAGTGCTCTACCACTGTGCTACAACCCCAGCCCTGAGGCTAGCTTTGAACTTGAGATCCATCTCAGCCTCTAGAGCAGCTAAGATTATAGGTGTGAGCCCCCATGTCTGGCTTACATGACTATCTTTAGGTCAAAAGCTAYTCAAGTAAAGCACCAGAAAAATCATTAAACCAAGGCTTTCTATAACTTCAAACCTCACACTTTTCCTGTTGCCTCTTAATGGGGGCAGGTGAGGGCACTTTGTATAAACAAGGAAGAGTTAGTTCAGTTCTAGGGATAGAACCCAAGTGGTGCTTTACCCTTGCTTGAGTACATCCCCAGGCAACTTTTTTTTTTTTTTAACTGTTTGAGACAGTCCTTACTAAAATGCCAAGGCCTCAAACTTGGCAGTGATCCTCCTGACTCAGCCTCCCAACTCACTGGGATTACAGGTATGTGCCACCACATAGCCAGCTTAATAAAAGTTTAGGGAGCACAATTTATACCCTCAGACACTGTCATGCAGCCTAAAGGCAATGAAAGGGCTTTATGGGTGCCTCCCATGTTCAGATGCCTGATGATCTTTTTCTTTTTCTTATGGTGCTAGGGTTAGAACCCAGGGCCTTGCCTTGTGCATGTGAGGCAATTACTCTATCAACTGAGCTATATCCCCAGCCCTATTTCTCTCCTTTTGTTTTCAACTCTATATTTCTCTTTGGCCTTACTTTTCTGGGAAAGGAAGAGCAGCCTATAATGGGAAGCAAGCCAAAAAATAAAAACAAACAAAAAAATTCCTAAAAACGACTTACCCTCAGGCAAAAGTACTTTCTACACAACACTTTTTTTTTAGTTGTCAATGAACCTTTATTTATATGAGGTGCTGAGAATTGAACCCAAGGGCCTCATACATGCTAGGAAAGTGCTCTACCACTAAAGCCACAATCCCAGCCCTCTACACAACATTTATGAAACTGACTCCTTTAAATGATCTTTGCCAGGGCCTCTGGAGACCTTGGATGTCCCAAGAGTCAAAGAAAGAAAAGCTGAGGTATAAACAACACAGATAGGTGACCCYATTTATTTCCTAGCCAGGCACCTTGAAATTAATTATATCTAGTGTCTTCACATGGCAAGAGTTTTCAATTTGTTATCTTGTTTTGTCTTTATAACCAGTATCATCCCTACTTAACAAGAAACCCAGGCTCAGAAAAGTTATATAACTTGTGCAAAATTATAAAACCAATTAGTGACAAGGCAGACACTTAAACCAAGTCACTTTTTACACCAATCAGAATAAATTCAACTCATCTCATGGCATTTCTTTTACTATAACTTGATCTTTCTTTTCTCACTACCCCACAGGTCTTAAGCTCCCAAGTTTAAGGTTGTTTATAATATATCTCAAAGAAAGAACATGTTTTTTGTTTTGGGTTTTTTTTGGTTTTTTTTTTTGCATGTGTGTGGGATGAAACCCAAGGTGCTTAACCACTCAGGCATATCCCCAGCCCTTTTTATTTTGAGTCAGGGTCTGGCTAAGTAGCTTGCCTTGCTAAATCGCTGAGGCTGACCTCAAACTTGCAATCTTCCTACTTCAGCCTCTAGCATCACTGGGATTATAGGCATACACCGCCCACCCCGGGCAGAATATGAGTTTTGAATCAAGAGAGAACTGGRCTTGAGTCCTGCCTCTGCTACATGCTTGGTGTGTGGCCTTTTATTTTATTTTGGTAGCAGGGATTGAACTCAGGGGCACTTAACCACTGAGCCACATCCCCAGCATGTTTTATATTATATTTAAGAGACAGGGTCTCATTGAGTTGC